TTCGCTCCTTCTCGACGGAGAGTGAGAGCTCGGTAAATTTCTGCCAAGATCAGCGGCACTATAGTCCCATTTGCCTTTTTCATCATAAAGTTGGCTATCCCTACTAGCCCCATCTCTATGTTCCCGTCTTTTCTCGGGCAAACCAAGATACCCAAGAACGCCACTATGAAAGCTAATCCTCTCCGAGCTTCCCACTTGTCTTGATTTCCAGCGTGAGTAAGATCGGTATCTGGCATTTCGAAGCCACGAGTATTCCCGTAATCTCGATACAGAAAGTAGAAGGTACAAAATTCTTTGGCCAGATTTCCGTCTTGGATGTCCCGACTAATGCTTAACAAGTCCAAAATTTTGTGGGGGGTCACCGTCCTTGGTGCTACCGGGTATTGACTTCTGAGATTCCCTTCGAAACCGGCATAGCCTGCTATCTCTTCTAGCGTAGGAGTTAATTCGAATCCGCAAAGTGGAACACATTGTGTGCTGGGTCCCAAAACGGTATCAAGGCCTCAATCACGTCTTTTCTGGGCTTGACCTTCAAAAGCCCAATAAGACCGCCCAATGCTTTTGTCACAACTTTCCTATTGTCACCCTCCAAATCATGCCACCACATATGTAGCTCCAAAGGGATCTCTTCACGGACTGAGAAAGGTTCATTTTGATTTGTGCTCATCCTGCACATTTATTAAGGTGATTTTAATTAAAAGAAAACCATGCCACGTTTTGACTTAAGAGAAATGACCATTTTTCAAAATTTCCACAAAACATCCGGCCTTGCCAACACGGCCTTTCAGTACTTCAAAAACGAAGATTTTAAGGCTGTGTCAGCTAACCAGCCAAAACTTTGAAAAGTGACAAAAGTGGCTGTTCTTGCAAAAATAGCATTTCGCCGCCCTTTTAGGGACATTCGACTATTTCTGACAAGAATGGCATCACCCTAATTATTTTCAAATTAAAGTAAATTTTTTGTTCTTTTGGCTACTTTCGCAAAAAGGAAGTTGGACCCGATGGGGGTTGCCTACATATCTCACACCCTGTGAGAATCAAACTAGCGTAGTTCGGACAAATAAAACAAACTATTTGAACACAAGACAGTTTTTTTTCATTTCATTGGCAAATAAAACTAATTTTGAAAACACCAACCTTTTTTTTCCTTTTTTTTTGTTTTGTTTTCTCAAAAATTCGGTAGGGTTTCGACACTATTTGGACATTGGTTTTTTAGAAGAGGCGATTAACTCTCTTCAACCCTCATACTGCTATTTCTCTTTCCTCAACTTTTCCCCAATATTCATAAGCCGGTCAGCATGCAAGTCCANGCGTACCGGGAATACAGAAGCTTCACCGACTTTGCAACTTGTCTGAACCTCGTTCTAAATTTGGTATATGACTCTAATAGAAAAGAAGTCACATGAAGTGCACACTTCTTCATGATTTAGAAGACTCAGAGAGAAGAGGGATTTCGCAACAGTTTATATACAGTTCACGGAATATCAAAGCGGTAAAAGCAATCAATTAGTACATTAGGCCCAAATCATGTAACACAAGCAAATAATGGATAAAACCAACTATAACAATTATTCTAAGCTCGAATTCTTGAACCCTGGACCGGAGATTCTGGGTTCGGTCCCCAGCAGAGTCGTGAGAGCTGTCACACCTCCTTTTTTACTACACCCTCGGAAGAGGGTATAAAGGGAGTTTTTCCAATTAAAGGACAATCGAAACGGGATTTATTTATTTAAAGATTCAGAGTCGCCACTTAGGATAATTTATGGTGTCCCAAGTCATCGGTTCAAATCCCGAATCGAGGAAACGATTGACTCTATTTAACAGTCCGCGCACCAGAAATCCGAGTAAGGAATTCTGTTAACCCGGGAGAAGGTGTTAGGCATTCCCGAGTTCCGTGGTTCCAGCACGGTCGCTTAATTGTTATATCTGGCTTAATTATCTGATTTTAGAAACACTTTTTAACCTATGATGCCATTTTAAACCTTTAACCGCTTTTAATCAATTTTAAAAGAAGATTGAACGTCGTTTAAAACACGTCTTCGAATCGCGCCACATGAAATGCACCCGCAATCCTAAACATATTTTATTCAACGTTTTAAGATTTGATTTGGGTCACATGAAATGCACACCCGAGTTTAGGAAGGTAATATTATTAAAATATGCGCCTAAAGCAACTAACACATTTGCAGCTTTGCGAGGGCCATGGAAAATTCGCTAAATGGCGCCCCTCGAATTCTAAGTATTTTAAGGAAAAATAATTAAACGAGGGCCAAGCATTTGAGATTTTTATTTGGATTGGCACGCCTTAATTCTAGATTCGAAAAGAAGGCTGATCTAATTAACTAGAAGACCTAAAGAGGTTCGCATCTTTTATTCTGAAGCTAAGGTTCAATGAGCTTAATACTTAGTGGGTTGATATTAAAAACTTATACCTTGACTATTTGATAAGACTAAGGCCAACAGCAAGCCTTATAGCCTCAAACAGGCCAGGCCCGACTAGATACACAATACGTGAAGGGCCCAGAAATATGCCAAAGAAACGACAATGTAGCATAATAGGCCCATCTCGATGTACTGCCTATTGCATTCCCATGCTAACCCCAAACTGATGACAGGGAAAATATGGCGTCAACCAAAAATATCCAAGACCATCATGATTTAACAGCCTGCTGCAGTTAAACAAAACAATAAACTGAATTTGAAATTCTCAATTAAAGGTACCAAAACCTCATACTAACAGGATACTATGGGAAAGCACAACTAGAACAAACTAACTTATGTAAGTTCAACAATCAATCACAAACTGATTTTAAAAGAACAATTCCGCAGGTGAAAAGACATACTATTACACTATCGATTATGGTATAATTGACAATCTATTACAGTGATCCCATGGCACACGTTGTCCAATTAATCATACATACACAACATTAAATGTGCAAGTGATAGCTTAGATAACATCTAAAACTACATATCTACTACATAAGATTAAAGCAGTAGGAGGAACAGGGGAAGTTAAGTTCAAATGCAGTCTGCGTTCAATCAGTATTCCACCCGATTCACATGTTCAACAATCACTCATTATTCATGGGCTAAGGAGGTACCTGGGAAGCAAAAGAAATAAGAGATTGAGAGATCGGCAACAAGCAATAGCAGTCAGCCCAGAACCAACAACACCAATGAAATAGTAAATCTTCCACAATCAACCAAAAAGCTTTTTCAATGGACCAGTAAAGGAAGTCCAAAATCAACTCTAAACCAAAAGCTCAAGCCATTTTTTAACCAAAAATGCAGCTAGAGCAAATTTTTAAGTATTCTGCAGAAATTTAATGGGCTTTTTAACAATGAAATGCAGGGACTTCAACACCTAAAAGTATTCCGCCCTTTTAGCTTTTCTCAAGGGGTATCTTTCTCTGAAATCTAACTTGAATAGCAAGTCTTGATGCCTTTATAGGCAAGACATTAGGGCAGCCTCAAAGAATTCAAATTTTGCAATTAGACCCTTTTTACATTTGCAATATAGCTTAGATATCCCTAGGCAACTATGAAATTTTCGGTTAAGTCCTAATGACAGCTTCTGGGAAGCTTCCTATTTCAGTTATAGAGAGATTCTTTACCTAGATTTCCCAATTTACCCTTTTAAACCCTGTTAATTACCTTGCTATCCAAACAAACTTGGGCTCAAATTCTGGCCCAAAAGGCCCCAACAATACGAGTAAACAATTTGACTCTGCGCTGACTATTACCTTGACAATTATGAATTAAAAGTAACAAGATCATTAATAACAAGTTTGACACAGCAAAATCAACCCTAAGCGAGTTTGGAATAATTAAACAAAGATACTAACAAAGTCGTGCTTAATGTATCAAAAGCAGTTAAAGAAATCAATTTGGGAAAACAAAACTTAACTGAGAGCACAAGAACACAACCAACTCTCAAATATCACAATTAACAGAGTTTAATTGAATCGACCAGAAAAGGGAGGAGAGGTGGACCAAGAAATGAAGGACGGACTCACCAACTGAAACTCGAACCTGGGGCTTGGGACTCTTACATGACGTCCAGTACTTATTTTTTTATCAAAGAACAACTCTGCATGTACGGGTTTGGGTTTGTCTTTAAAAGATCGGGCTTCAGATTCAACATTCGACGAGTTCCAAACAGATTTGAGGGGAGCTGGTCACAAACTTGGGAAGAGGAGGTCAAGGAGGCACTAGGGTGTTGATTTGGTGGGGAAAGGTGGGGGCGCCGCCAGGTTAAGGCGGTGGGATTAGGGGTGGTGGGTAGGGTTTTTGTGAGAGAGATGAGAGAGGTAAACGGAGAGGGGGGGGCCTATTCGAACTGAACTGTCTCTATAGGTTTTAGGACAATTTTAAACGAAAATGATGAAATGCTCTGGGCCGTTGGATGCAACGAGACGAACGACCATGATTTGTTAAGGTTTAATGAACTCGAAACGACGTAGTTTTACGCCTGTACTACGTCGTTTCTTGAGTCTTAGGGACAGAAGGGCTGTGGGCCGGGTATGGACATGGTTTGGATGGGTTCTTTGTTTGGGCTTGGGGAATTAGATGGGTTTTAGCCCAGAGTTGGATTTCTTTCATTTCTTTCTTCTCATTTTCAATTTCAAAATTCCTTTCTTTCCCAAAATTAAAATAAATCTCAAATTAATTAATAATAATTTTAAAATAAATTAACCTACCAAATTAGATTAATCACTCATCATGGTATTTACAATAACTAATTAAATCCTAAATTTAAAGAAAAATTATACAATTCAAAATTTAAAAGTAAAAATGCAAAATAAATTATTTTTGTGATTTTCATTTGTTATAAAAACAAACTAATTTGCTAATTAATCTAAAAATATAAAATTAAATTCTAAATGCAGATGCAACATATTTTTTGTATTTTTCATGAATTAAATAAAATAAACGTGCACAGACAAATGCAAATGATTAACAGAAAATGCCACGAAATCCAACAAAATTGCAAACACTGAAAGAAATTATTTATTTTGAATTTGTTGGAGTAATACATATAGGGCAAAAATCACGTGCTCACACATACTACAATGCACAAAGCATGTGGATTATCGTCGCGGTCAATAAGTGCAAGTAGCAGGATATCTGGAGGAAGAAGCTCATGGGTCCAGATGAAAACTGAAAGGTTTCCACATGCTTTTAGCATAAGATCCTGAGGAGTGAAAAGAGGAAGACATTAGAAAAAAGCAACGCAAGGAGGATTAATACTCCGTGAAAACTTGATAGGTCCAGAGAGTCAATAAGAAAGGAGTATGACAAAACCTGCAAGGGATGTCCACGCTGTAGTTCCAAGTGAATATGATGAAGCAAAACATCTACCATTGTATAAATATTTGCAGTCACCTCTTCAGGAGAAAACTCCCTCAAGACACGTCCCTGTATCCAATTATTAGCAGGAACGTCGTCACACGAGAGAGATATGTTTTAGTAGGGACATCTCCATATGAGAAAGAAGTCGATGAGATGATCACTACACAAAAGCTTCCAATAACTTCAGGAATAAAAGGTCGAGTCTTACAAGGTTTGTGCAGTTATATTCTCTGGATGTCCATGCATTAGTATCCATGCACCAGCACAAATATACTGGCGGTGTTGAGGAAAACTGTGGTTAATATGAGTCATAACATATGTGGGATCAGCCGATGGAGAAAGAAGTTGTGTGCATTGATTGATAACAGTTGTTTCTGCCTGCAGATAAAACATCTTGAAGTCAATTGTAAGCTCTCCAGAAAAAACAACATGAGCAAACTTATACAGGAAACATCTTGCCAGTGGTTTGCAAAATACCTCAAATTCACGAATATTGTCTCTTATTTTTCCCTGAACCATATACTGTTTAATGACAACAAATAAACCTATAGTCTTAAATCATAATCTTTTCCTTTCTTTATACTTGTTTACTTCCGGAGATCACTCATTAGCAATTTGACTCCTCACAAAGCAGCTGGGAATAAATTCAATCATTAAGATTACAGCATTTAAAACTGGCAACTGCATGAGATGCACAGGTAATTCTGACAGAAATAAATTTTAATAAACTTGAGTAAAATAAGTACTTTCGCCTTTTCCAATCATGTGGTGGCGTTTGACTAGGCACCGAATTTAAGAAAGAAAAAAAAAGACTTTTAAAACTTGTGGTCTTAAACATGACATAGCATATATGTGTCTAAGAAGCATGCCATTAAGGGTAAATTTGGGAAATTTAAAGTTAAATTGTCTCCATTTCATATACCTGCTGCCATGCANTGAGTCCTTGTACAATACAAACTCCAACCCTATCCTTTATCCGGATTGTGTCCTCTTCCCATAAAGAGACTTTCTCTCCTCATCCAATATGCAACATTTTCGACCAGTTCAGGAGATATTGCTGCTTGATCACTGAGACTTATCTCCTTCACGTGTATCTCACATGTCTAGGTTGATAAATATTGTGCCTCACATGATGGACCTGGTCCATGACTGAGTTCATTTGTCATTCTTCAAAACTTCACCTGAACTTGGGCCAACAAATTCCCCCTTTTTGATGATGACAAACTCTGTGCTTTTACTAATCAAAGAATCTGTAGGAACTCAGCTTGACCATCAACACATTAACTTAGAATTTTAACTTATCATCAAGGACCAGGTTTAGTTAGGTTATAAATATCACATTATTCAGAATAAAGAGTAAAGAACAATATCTCTTCCCCCTTTTGGCATCATCGAAAAGTTGCATACATTGTGAATCCCAGATTTTAGAAATTACTCATGGCCACTAGGGCAACTGCAAGTGAAAACATGGATGAAATCATCAATAATCAACAAATTTACTCAAACTATTCAGATCAGAATCTTCATAGAACAAGAGAAATAGCAGTTGTCATTGATAAGATATGTTTCCACCAACAAACCACAAAAAGAAAGAAAAACTTCCAAAACATGAGCAAAAAAACAGAAAAAGTCCCTAATCTGGGTCATTGGGGGTACTAGACTGGTTCAGAAGACAACAACTGGACATCCTAAGGCTTGGAGGAACTAGAGGGCTGGGTTTGGAGAAGGTTGAGCATATTCTGAAGCATCCCATCACTCTTCTCCTTTTCTTTTGCTAGCTCAGTTCTAAGGCCATCTCTTTCAGTTTCTAGTTCAGCTACACGAGCCTAGAGCCTAGCAATTTCAGCATCCTTAGATCCACACTCTCGAACCAAAGCCTTAACCTTGCTGTTCATAGGTATCTTAAGAGATGAACCAGGTTCAACTGGGGTGGCATTGACAGGATAGTCATAAGCCAAAAGAGTCTTGACGCCAAAGTATCCCTTGCTTGATGCCATCTCCCATTTCTGCAAAGGCACATTCAGCCTGTCCAGAACAGTAGTCAATATGAACCCATATGGGGTGACATGAGCCTTGGAGCCATTTATGACCCTGTCTAGTAATTTGACAATAAAGGCAGGCCAACTAATCTGCATTCCTCTCACAAGGCACTCCATAAGAACCAGGTCCATGTAGTTGGCAGTGTGCCTCCTCTCATGTCTGGGCAGCAGGCACTTGTTAACAAATTCAAACAGGACCTTGTGCTCAGGCCTCATCTCACTTTTCTGTACAAACCTGGCTTCAGGCACATCTTCAGCAGTTGCGGCATCACAAAAATTCCTAGTGATTTGAAGAGCAGTAGGGAGAGAATCTAGACATGGACACCTTTGCCTTGTATAATCATCATACTCCTCACTAGGTATGTCTAGAATCTTACCCAATTTGAGTGCATCAAACTGCACCCTTACTCCTTTCACCAGACTGGTGACTACCCCATTCTTTACTGTGGCATTGGCCATAAACTCAATCAATTCTTTCCTAGCCAGCCTCCTATCCATTTCAAGGACCATGTCCTTCCAACCTTGTGCAGCTAGGGCATCCACCAGTCTTCTCATTCCTGGCTCATCCAGGTCTCTCAGCAGTCTTCCTTTCAAAATATTTCTTCTGTCAAAGATGGCAAACCTATCTTGTTCCTTCTCATATTCCTCTTCTTCTTCTTCTCCACTCCATTCTTCTTCTCCCTCAGTAATTTTTACCTGCTTACCTTTTACTACAGATCTGGTTCTTTTTGGCTAAAGAAGGTTCTAGAAGGATATTTCTAGAACTTGGGGGCCTTTAATATTTCTCAGCTTCATTACTGTAACCATGCGCTTCATAGAACTTTGTAGTTCAAACAACGACACGCAAGGTGATCTCTATAAGAAGGAGTAATGTTCTTTGAATCTTAACTTTGAATAGTAAGATTAATACCAATGTTATTGTAAATCAGATACCCAAATTAGTTACTGTAATTGCAGGTTAATCATTATAGTACTGAATTCATAAATGTTTGGTATTCTTTTAGTGTCGTAAATTCTGCGGTTCACTTCTCACTTTTCATTTAAAAGTCCTAGATATCTCGTCAATTTTTTGTGCTTTTTGCTTTTAAAAACACTGCTAGCCATCACCTTTCATAATGGTAAATACCATCAAGGAATGCTTTGTGCCTATCCAATCATGGTATTTTATGCCTTGATGAATTTAATATATCCAACTAGTTGAAGGCCTAAAATACAAAGAATCATTGTGTTAGGGCCATGCTACTCATCTGAGATTTTGCTTCAGGCTTTCAATGGAGACACAGTGAGAGGAGCAAGCAACAGATTGTTCATAAATACTTGTTCTCAACCTAGAGTGTGATGTCTGAAATCAGAGGACTCTATCCAATTCATAAGTTATATTTGGTGGAGTAACTCAACAATAACATTTGCCTTTTAGACTGTTATGAAGCAAAATAGTATTGAACCATGATAAAAGTAACTTATGCAGATATTATAGCAAATTTGGCACATAACCAAAAGTGACATTCTCAGGAGGTTTCTTTTGCTTACTGGTTTAAAGCAATGAATGTAGTTCCGGAGAAAATGTAGTGACATGCTAGAGAATTAAATACCAAAGAAGGAATATTAGGAGGGAAAAGAGGAGAAGTTACAATTAAGAGTGAGCGAAACAACGAATGGGGAGAAATGAGCATCAACCTACAGTATGTTTCAACCACAGCAATGCTAGGCACAACCTGCAATGAAATGATAGCATGATATTAAGCATTCACAACTGGTACAATGAACCTTCAAAAGAAAAAGGGAACGAGGAAATACTAGCTTGCTCCCAGTCAGAGTGGAGATAGTATGATAATAAAGCTGCAGTAAATGTGAATGGATAATAACCCTTCCAAATGACATGATCAAAGCAAATAAAACCACAAGAAAGAGTGGACAAGGGAGACCTACAAATCCATTCATAAAATCTCATAGTATTACTCATGAGTACTAAACTTTTTATACATATAGAAGGCATGTAGATGAATTGATCAGTGATTTTGAGATTCTCTTGAGAAATTTTTTCTTTTCTTTTTACTTTTGGAAAAGACCAACAGGAGGAAACCATAGTAAGTACTTGTCCAGAAAACATTTATTCTTCCATCTGATAAGCCAGTTTCAAGCACAAATTTGTGGAAAATCCTGATAACAATGATATTGGCAGCGGACTAACTTCACGCATCACCACTAA